GTTTTCTGACCATCAGAATTCTGTCAAAACTTCCCCCAAAGTCCAGGAAATGGCATTTCAGAGAATCTAAATTTAAAAATTTCCTCGGGCCTTCGGCCAGCGTGCCCAACCCTCAATCAAAAAGAGCTTCCTACGGCACTGCTTACTTCTGTAATATGTCTTTGCGTAAACTATGTGTATTTTTGTTTGTAAATTGCGTCTTCATTTTCCAGATAGCAAACACCTTTGTGGCTTCGTATGCCATGACATATTCGGAAATTTTTTTCGTCATTCGGAAATTTTTGGCCTACACCCCCCAACTATACATGCTAGGTACGGCCCTGCTAGCAGTTGCTATAGAAAGAGTAGAAAAGGCTAATCATTCTCTGGAGTACTTGCGTGGTAAGGAAAACAAGACAAATCCTTGCCAGAACATCACGGAACATGCATGATCAAAACATTGACAAATAATATGATCAAAATATACGAACAATACACCGATTCGAAAAAGAGCTGTGGAAGTCTGGAGGACTGTGGCGAGTTACACGAAAACGAGGCTAGTCAGGTTAATTTTTCCCGCGAAAATTTTGAAATTGTTTATATTTTTTAAATAACATGACCTCATCAGGTTTTGATAACTTTGACGTAGAATTAACCGAAGAGGATATTCCCGGTGCTTCCTTAGCTGGAAGAATACCACTGAGCTATAATATAACTGGAGGAAGTGCTCGGCATCTAAAGGTGAAGCCAAAACATGACGGATTTTCACGTTTGCTGACGCCAGAATGACGCCACTGGTCCTAAATCCTCGAGGTAATTACCACTGGGCAACCTCGATCCTCTGCTTTTGACGACAATTTCACCCCCCTGGTTTTTGAAAAAACCCTGAAACTCTGCTGAAAGTTTTATATATAAAAATCATCAAGAAAAAATGCCGAGTTTTTGCATGGCTTCATGATGCCCCAATTCTTTATCAAGAAGAAACACTTTTTTTACAGGTAAGATTTAAACTCCTTTTGTGCTTCATTTCTACTAAATAAATACCGTGTTTTCAAGAAAACGTGGATACGAAATTAACAAATATATAACGACGCTGTACAACCTACAGCAGCTGGTACTTTTCTGCCTTTATCACTTTTCTTTGTGTTTTATTTTGCCATTTGGGCAGGTTATATTTTTGTTTTCCTCTGGAGTCCTTAACCAAAGATCCAACATCAATTTTAGTATACAGTCAGTATAGTATCAGAATCGCCTTAAAATGATGGACAAATGGTGTCAAGTTCCAACTTGTCCTAGGGTTTTAAATTTTTAATATATTATCACAGGAATAGGAGGCCAATAGTGGTTGTAATGGGCACAAAACAGATCAAAACTGTTCCTAATAAGTGTCTCTGTAGGAGTATAAGTGTTGAGTAAAAGCTTGCAAGGCTCACACTACAATCTTGAGTTGTGATTTTAATAGACAATTTTAATCTTTTTTCATGGCTAACAGTAGAAAGCCCAATATCTAGTTGAACAAGTAAAGTTTATAGTTCATACATAAAATGGCCAGCAAATTGATGAATTTGAATTTATGGCGAATATGAATTTATGGAAATACTTCAAGTATATAGAAATAGAAGTCAATGGGTGGGAAGGGATGCCTAATCACTCTAATTTCTATGCCTGAAATAACATTTAATATTTGAAAATTGAAAGGAGAAAATAACATAATGTTCAATAGCATGTAGACCAACTTATATAGATAATATAGTACATTCCTGATTGGATATGTATACTATTACACTTTTCCAGATGCCAAGAAAAATCCAGAGATGTGTAGACAACTTGAAGAAGAATGCCCTGGTTAAATTTCTTGCCACAAAAGAGAATCACCTTTGTTCAATTAAAGCAATTGATATAATATTCCACTTAATTTAAATTAACTTATTAAGCACCAGCACTCCCCTTCACAAATAAAATTATCTGCTATCAGACAGTTCTAATATAATAATAAAGTGGGGATGCATTGGGGCACATTGCCACTTTCAAAGGTTTAGCATATACTAGTCAAGCCATGAAGAGCCAGAGCTCTCCCCGTTCATTGACAAGTATATTTGTCTGGCATTTGACAGGCAGGGCCATAGCTAGCACGATAATTGGGGGTGGGGGGGGTGGGGGTTGTATATTCATATATTTGTGTTCTGCCCAACGGATTTCTTTTGAAATCGATTGTTTTTACGGTATGTAAACAGGAATATATGAATATACACCCCCCCCAAAAAAAAAAAAATTGGTGCATTATATGGTCCATTGCCACATATCAAAACAGATAATAGGAGCCCACAGCAACTCTCTTGTTCTCTCAGGGGTATGTGGGGGTAGGTTAGGGACGGACCATCAGAAAGTGATGGGGGGGGGG